ATCAAAGAACCAAATATGTATTCGTGAGCTTGGAGAATGGAGCATATTATTCAAGCTGATTGGATCCATTTTCCTGACTCCTTCTTAAAGATCTTTCCATTAATTAGCCAGGGTTCCTATTGAATTATGTAATTATCTGCACTTTTGTGCAATGAACTATGTTGTCATATCACACACTTTATCACGCTGTTACTGTTCACACTTGCTGATGCCTCTATAGTTAGCAGTTTCCTTTGTTCTGCTCAGTAAGTGGTTTTAGGAAGGGGCTGGGCCAGGAAGGAGGAGCCTTGGGGCTTGTAAAATAAAATCATACATTCCTCGGGCATATGCAAAACTTTATGCATTTACATGAATTTCTTTTTAGAAATTAAATGGCAATTCCATTTGGAATAAGCTAAGAGGCGCATGTCGATGACTTTGAATCAAGCCACAACAGTAAGACTAGATGCTACCGCATTTTCCACTGAGTGCCATGGGAAAATGACGATTTTTTTTTTAAATCAGCAAGGAATGTCTTCAACTAGGAAGAAGTAAATTATGATAATTACTCTTAATGGTCAGATCCTTGAGCATTACTAATTAGCATTTATTGCCTGGATTATAGAACAATGCTTGTGAAACTGAACTGCGATTGCTCTTTTACAATAAAGACTGGAAAAAGGCAATGGAGCAAAAAGGCAGGCGAGTAGAGTCAGAGGCCGGAGAACGCAGTTAGTTGTCGAGCCCGTAGCTCACCGCGCAGTGAAAGCTTCCCCGCTCTCGGAATAGCTCCCTTCTGGAATATCCCAGTGTGCTCCTCGATAGTTATGGCCCATCCTGACACGATGTTACAATGAAGGCACATATTCGAATTGCGGTGATGATACTATTTTGATGCAATATCAGCTGGGAGAGTTTAATAATGAAGAACTTGCTGTTTGAGAAAACTACAAGTTTTGTTTTGTTTTCACTACTGAATCAAATTTTACATCTCTTACTCTAGTTTCCTCAGAAGGATTACAGTCGTTGAAATAACTTAGGAAAGGCCATTGGTATTCTGGCTTAAGATTCTTTCTCTCATTAGAAATTTGCAAAGAGACAAAAAAAAATCCATTCAGAAATTAGATATTATTCAACAGGCCAACACAAGTCATGTAACTAAATGTCATTCATGTAATTTAGCAACTCAATTTCTTAAATAGCCTGGCAGGTAGCAGTAGAGAAAGAGAGAGAAAAAACGAACCATTCATCATTCTCTCGGCAGTCTCCCTGTTTTCCACCACCCTTTACAGTGAAGGCAGAGAGAAATGAAAAAAGGCAAGAGAAACGTCCCGGCACATGGAGCCAGGATGAAATGCAGTCCCGGGTCTCCCCAGTCCGTTCCGGGCATTATCTATTTCCTTTTTGGTTTGAAATCATAAGTTTAACTAATTATTTGAGATTAAACAGGCTGGTAATACAGAAATTAATTCTGCTGAATGAGCAAATGCATTTGGATTGCTGAGATGCAAATAAGACAATACTTTTCTTTTGACATACAAGGCAGATTAGTTTAGAATGTTAAACTTGATTTTATTAGAATATATTAGCAGTGTTTTAATTAATACCAATCAAACATTTTCTTTTCCTGGGGCTTGATATGTTCCTCACACTTTCTAAATTATCTTTTTCCCCCTCAATCAAAACCCTCAAGCAAATCACCAAAGCCTTTTGTTGCATTCTTCATAATTTTACCGTGATCAATGGAAAACTATGAGCAGTTTTGCCCATTAAAAAAAAAAAATGTCTCCAGGTGCTGGATTTAAATTGAATAACTGATCATGAGTACATTTGGTTGGATTTCGGAAGGTGAAATTGTTGTACATTTCATAAAACGATGACTTTTGTAGTTTTAAAATTGGGGGCATAATGCTACAAAAGGAGTTGTTGGCTGGTTCATAGGATTTGCCTTTATCTTCACTAGAGCTTCTTAGAGCCTGTACATTTCTAATTGCCTTGGTTTGTAGTTGGCCCTCTTTGGAAACACACACACACACACACACACACACACGCACACGCACACGCACACGCACACGCACACGGATAAAGGGGGGTATCTAGTTAAAATGACGGTGAATCCGTGGGCCCCGTGACCTGCATTGTAACGGTGTGCTCTTTTTCTCACAAGCTGCCTGTCCTGTGCCCCAAAGCTCCAGCTCACTTTCTTTCTCTTTTCTTCCCGCAACAGGCCCCCTCCCCAATTCCCCACCTTTTTTTCATTTAATCTGCAAGCTGGATTTACACTTTTAACGATCAGTATCAATAATGCCTGCTTGTTTCAGTTGCACTCTCCCTTTAAAAGACAGTCCCCTTTAATTGATGCGTCTGGGCTAGTCTAGACTGGTAGTGATTGAACCAACCACCAATTATGTTATTCATTTCCCTGAACTTCACTGATGAGCCCGGTGAGGAAGAAGGGGTGTTGAGAAAACTGCCCTTGCACTAAAGCAGTGCCGGGCTGAAATATCAAATGAGTGCGTTGTTACGTGCTCCTAAATGCCTATGTGACCAGGTCGACGATGGCAGCATCAGGACATGAGAAGCTCACTTTAAAACATGTAAAAACAAAACAATGCAAAACCCAAAACAACAAAAAAGTAAAATGGAAAATAAACTGAGACACTGGTATTCAATGACTCTCCTTTTCTCATTAAAAATCACAGGAAAATGATGTCTTGGGTGCTTTTATTGACCCCTGCGTACGTTTTCATTGAATAAGCTGCAGAGGAATTTTGACTTCAAAAATCTCCCAGTGTCTGGCAAATAGCAAATTATTTGATATAAGTCATGTGGTAATATAGACCAATCTACTAAATAGATGCTTTTTCATAATTTCCAAATACCTATGCATGCACATCAGCTAAAATGGAAAAAAGAAACACATTAATCTATTGTACAGAGACCAAACAATGACTAATAACTTTTTCCTTTGAAGCATATTTAGAATATCAAAGGCTGTAAAGTAATATTTATACATTAATGCTACACAGAGGTTGCAATAATAGACAGGGTGCAATTGCTGCACAGTTAATCTTCTCATTCCAGTTTTCTCATACAAAATGGTTTCTTGACCGTGATTCAAAACCAATGACTAAAACTTGCAATAAACATTTTAAAAGAAAAGCAACAACGAACAATTTCCTTAACCTTTGATTACACGTATAAAATGAGTTTACAACCAATATAAAGCCTTTTGAAGAAAAAAACATTTGAAATCAGGGTTAATTTAGGTATGTTCAAAAAACAGAAGACAACACTTGGCCTAGCAATACTCAAATTGTTCCAATGGAATTGTATATCTGAACAAAGGGGACACAACAAAGGAAAGGTAAGTTATGATTTCTTTCTCCAACTCTGCGGTGGGCCAAAATCACTGAAATAGTTCTGTTTAGAAAAAAGTTAAATTTTGCAAAAACTACAAAATCAGCAGGGCTAATAATTACTTGGAGACAATTATTTTAAAGGCACAGTTTGGTGTTTAAATAACTTGTTGGATTGATGTGAAATCTTGATAAATTTTATTCAATATCAATATCAGATTAAGAATAATAGGCATTGATACCTTCTAAAAGATACCATAATCAGGGTGTGTGTGTGTGTGTGTGTGTATGTGTGTGTGTGTGTGTTTGCACGCGTGCGCTGGTGTTGTTTCTTTCAATATATTCAGAAAATCTATTTCCAATCTTGATTACTTTTCAGTTCATTACATGTACGAATTTTTAAGCTACAAAGCAAGGAAGCAGTCTCCCTCTTCTTTTATTGATTTTACCACCCTTTGCAAAGTAACACAAATCGAAAATCTGCTAACATCATACATTCTACCCTCCATGTAGAAAAGCACAAGTACAATTTTTAACCTGTTCATTTTTTAGCTCAAACTATCAGCTCACAATTGTCAGTCAGTGTATTCACGAGCTAGCCATACATGATCCATATATGTGGGCATAGTAACATAGCCGCATGCACGTTCTAATTGGGCACAATTTTAAGATTAACTGTCGAGTTAAAAGTTGGAGGCCTGGGGCATGCTGGGACTTCAGTTGACACGTTCTGAGGTCAAGCACCAGGTACTGAGCTGTTTTGTTATGCTCCATAGTACTGTGTGTTGCTCTCAAGGAAATACATGTAGATGTACCCCACAAGCCTCAGGTATCAGTAGTGCAGAAACACAGACAGAACAGCCGAGCCGCCATTGTCACGGAATATGTACCGACGGTAGCAGACCTGATTCCCTCTAACAAGGATAAACTCAATCACTTCAGACAAACTTTCTTTTCTTTCCGTTTTGGCTTTAAAGAACAGTTTCCCCGACGGTCCAGGACGCAAGGGCACGACTCGCAGCTCCCAAGAGCCTAACCCGTGGATGGAAACGGTAAACATCACAAGTTAGGGTCTCAGGGATTGAGAGGCGCGCAACACATTTTTCTTTCTTGAGACAAAACGAAGCAAATCAAGAGTGACAGGCAATTTCGGCTCAAGGTTCTTGACTAAAAGGCCACAAACAGGTGGCACGGCGATTCCTCCCATGCTAAGCTTCCTGAGTTTGGAAAATTTCGATTCATTTAAGTAAGCAAGCACGCACACGCAAATCCATACAATAGCTAAGGGCTCGTATACATACCTGGACATACAATCACAAGTATATCAGGGGAAGAAAGAACAAAAATAACGCTTTCAAGCTTTGAACAAAATATTTTTACACCCAAATGGGAAATCATCTAAATGGACCCGGAAATACCCAGGCTTGAATAAACAAAACAAAGCAAACCCCGTGATTTACAAGAAGCATGAAAGGGCTCTCCACGCGTGCCCTGCCTTCCCCCGGCACAAACGCAGGGCAAGAACCGGAGGAGGCACGTCTTCCCCGTGGCCCGCATGCTGCCTGCCAAAGGCACCGAGGCCAGGTTCGGAGGAGGAGGCGAGCCAGGAGGGCGACGGGGAGGCTGTGGGGAGAACAAATAGGAAAAGCGTTGGAAACTCACCCATTCGCAGCGAAGTGGGCTGCAGGCTGCGGTCCCACCGGCCGGCTAGGACCGGGAGATGGGAGCTCGCGCTGGTCCGCGGCCGAGGTGTTTCAATAGAGGCCGGACTGGGGCGGGGAGGGGGAGGCGGGGGCAGGAAGCGATACACCAAATCTAGAGACCGGAGCTCTGCAGTTTATGCTTTGATGAGGGGCGGGGGAGGGGGGTGTTGGGGGGGTGGCGAGCAGGGCAGTTTGGTGGTAGTAGAGGGAGGAGCAGGGATTGGTCAAATATTGAAAAATATTCCGTGAAAAAAAAAAAGGCGGGGGTGGGGGTGGGGGGAGAGCGAGAAGGCTCAGCAGAGCTGCTAAAAAAAAAAAACAAAAAAAACGCACCAAAACCCACAAAAACCAAACCCAAAATTCTTCCTGTCTTTTTTTGGTGTCCACTCTGCCGCCTTGTAAACCGGGTGACCGCAGGGGTGGCAGGCAGGGGGCGGCTTTCTCTGCATCAGCTGCTGGCTGGAGTCAAGGCCAGGTCCCCAAGAGCAGGTACCAGGCTGTCATTTGGTAGACAAGATGTGGGAAGGGGTGGGTGCAAGCTGGGGAGACACGTACCCTCCACCCCACACCCCTACACTCCCCCGCCACCGAGCCTTAGCAGCCTTCTGCCAATCTTTCTCAGGAATGAGAAGCCTCGCGCCCCTCCATCTTCCCAGGCAGCTACTGGTGCTGTACCTGATAGATAGTCACTTTCCCGGGCAAGGGCTGTGCCGGTGCCCTCTCCAAAAGGGAGACCCAAGGGCGGGAACTGGAAGCAAAACATCTGCCCCTTTCTCTTTCCTTCCTTCCTTCCTTCCTTCTTTCTCTCTCGTCTTCCCGAGGCCTGAGCAAGGTAGAAGTAGGCTGGCTGGTCAGAGAGAATGACAAAGCAACGTTGCAAGGAGGACTCCAGAAGGGGCCTCAAGCAGTTAAGGACATACACTACCTAGTCCATATGTATTTCCGTAGCTAATTAAAATAGTTCCAGAGTCAGGCTCTCCAGACACCCCCCCCCCTTGAAAATAGATACTCAAACCATCAAGGCAGCTAAATGATGTCTTCTCTCCCTCTCCTAGGGTCTCTGTAAGCATCGCCGCCACCCCCAACTTTTTTTTTTATCTTCTCACCTCTGTAATCTTCACAGGTAGCATCCTCCATTCAGTTCAGTTCAGGATCTCTCCTTTTTCTCTCCCATCCCTTTTGCTCTTCCTCTCGGAAAAGCTAGTCCGCACTCGTCACACCTAATTTCGCTCTCTTTCCTTCTCTCTCCACCTCTCCCTCTTTCTTTTACCATGAAAACCTCCTAAGAAAGGCCCTTTAGACATAGCAGCATGAAGTGGCTGCCTTTGAGAAAGCACATTAAATCTTTACTGGCTCCCTTAGGCTTCAGTGAAGAAGCAGAAGACAAGAAGGAAAAAAAAAGGAGGGGGAGGAAGAAAATATTGTAAGGGAGGTTGCTGACGGACAGCAAGCATCAGGCACAAATCAGCGACAAGTCGAATTTTCCTAGACCACACTGCCCCCTTTCTTCTGGGCTCTCTCCCCGGGCTCCTGGAAAACCTGCGTGTCTGGTTACAGGAGGCAACAGGGCGCCTTTTGCCAACCCTAGTGCGGATTCCTCGCATGCCTGCTTAAATCTCTGGCAGAATAAGGAATCAATATCCCCTCTAATCACCTTTAGCTCGTCTGCAGCTCCCCCCCACCCCAAGAATCCACTGGGCTCGGCTCGGCCGTCCCCCCACCCCACCCCCGCTCGCCAGACGCTGACATACAAAGCTGCAGTCCTGCCATTTCTCACTTCCTTCCGTATCTCAGAGACAAGCCTCGCTTCTCCGATCCTCTCGCACTTGCCGGCGCTCTGCTGTAGCATGGCTCATCCTGGGCACAGCCCGGGGCGGGCGGGCGCACCCAGGCCTCTCGCCGACTGCTAATGAGACCCCCAAATGCACCAGCAGGTCAGGGGGAGCGCCAGACAGTGTCTTAGACAAATACAAAATTCCTCAGCCGGCTGGACTGAGATCAGGTATCACATTTTCTCAAAGGGGGAGGAAAAATGGAGAGGGGCTGAGCAAAGAAGAGATCTGCAGAGTCTGCTTCTGTACCTAATTGTTTCACATGCTATAGGATTTTTTTTTTAAGGATGGGGGAAAAAAACCCCACAAGTCCAGGTGCGAGTGCAAGCAATGTGTTCTGAATGTGAATCTTGTTCTGTTTTCCTTATTGATGCAAAGTTGGGGGCCCCAAACATTTCTCTGCACTAGCCTTTAGAGGGTCGAAAGAGCAGGGATTTAAATCTACATTCGTGATTTAGAAATACTCTCTCTAGGCTTGTGATGGCCACAGCACTTGGATGCTCTCTCCCTGCCAGGGCTGCCTTCTGCTTGGGGACTTTCTTTGCTCTATGAACTAATTTCCTGCTTAAATCTCGCATTTTAAAATGGAATCACTGGTGGCTGCATCTCAACCTCACCTTTTGCTTTGATGGCAGATATTATCCTTTTTTCCTAGATCATCCCCACCCCCACCCCGCCCAGCAAGCATACGCACTTCATGATGAGCTTTAGGTCCCCAGTTAAGAATCACTGATAGTTCAATGGCAAAAGGAGGCACAAGACCGAGAATGACAGGTTGACTTGAAAAACAGAGCATCTCTTATTGTCTCTATTAGCACCTGTTTTTAAAAGCACAGAGAATGATCCTTTAAAGCAGGCATATCACACACACACACACACACACACACACACACAGTCTCCACCTATCGACACACACAGTGGGTATATTGCCATCTGAACCCAATTTTCCCGGCTAGAACTATGCAGACCACAGGCAATGCCGCATTAAGTGTAATGCCGAGTTCTGTAAATAGCAAGGAAGAGGAGGGGGGGTATCTGAGGACGCAGGTTTGTCTAACTCGATGTTTTTAAAAGGTAGTTTCTTTGTGCTCAACTCAGACACTCTGCTTTGTCTCTGAGAGACCTGGAAAAGCAGGGCTGGGTGCCAATGTGGAGAAGAAAACGCAGGAGGAGAGGGAGAGGGAGAGAGCGTGAAGAGAGGAAACAGAATGGAGGCATAGGGCTGGGTTTCTTTCAGACTTTTTGCGGGTGTGAGTCACGGTTGGGAAGGAGTAAGAATTAGCTGCCAGAGGTTGTGACTGGGTTAAAATCTTTGTCAGATTGGCTAACAGGGTGTTTGCACTAGACTGAGGGAGAAAAATGAAACATGCTAGAATAATCATAAAGGGTGGAGCTGTCATAACAAAAAAAATCTTTGAGTCACTGGATGCCTCCCTGCACAGCCAAAATGAACCCTTCCCAACCAGTCATGAATTGTCGTGGTGCACTTGTACATGAGTGCCACATTACGGAAGCATCTCATTGTACCCATCTCTGAAAAGGAAAGGGAGCCAGAGAATGAAATTTAATGAGACAGTCTTAAACCTCTATTTGCAACAATAGTTCTGCATGGCTTCCACAGTCGGAGCTAATTTGCTCCTGTCTATTCACTCTACTTACAAAGATTCACAAATATATGACTTATGAAAGTTTTGCTATGAACACATCATTTTTTCTATACAACTCAGCTATGTCTTTAGAGGATACTTATTTCAAGCAGTTAACACCTGACCCCAATTTCTGTGGGTAATTAGTGAGCTAGATAACCACACAAAGTGGGTAATTATTTAGTACCCAAGGGTACGCTAGAAGTGGGTAGTGGCTTTGTTAACAAAAGCACATCTCTAATTATTGTATCTATGATGGGTGTTTTAAAAACACCAGTTACTATATCAAGTGAACCATGATAAATAAAGGAACTATTTTGCCGTCCTTAGCATATACATATGGATATTTTATCATGGTTAATAATATTTACTTCCCTGTATGGAATGTTGTGAAGATTAATTAGTTAACGTCTATAAGACTCTCAGAAGAGGAAGTGTGCTAGAGAGCTTAGTGGTGGTCATATCACCTAACCTAACAGAAGGGGGGGGGTTCCAAAAGTTTATGAGAAAATTCCATAATCTTTAAATCCCGTAACTTTTTGTAACTCCTCAGAATCCCAGGATGGCAGAAGCTGAAGGAATAGAAACAAGCTGTCTAGGCTCTGTCTGGGTGGAGAAAATGCTGAGATCACAAATGTGATGACTGATTCTGAGGAGTGGGCTCCTCCCCTGCAGAGTCAAGTACAGGCTCTAATACAAAGGGTGGGGACATGGACCTGACAGCTAGCTCAGATTGGATCTGGTGATCCTGGGGGAGTTGGGAGAGAAGGCACAGGAGTCAGTGATGGGATGGGAGGAAGCTGACTCATTTGGACCACACCCTCCCTCCTTCCAAAGTTTCCTATCCTTCACTTCAATGAGCAGCAAAAATGCCCCCAAGGGAGACTTCGTATAAGACCTGCTACAAATTCCATCACATTCCAACCAAGTATTTATGCTGAACAAGAACCACCTATACAAACTGTACAAATTATTTTAGCAAATACAGATGCAATTTCAAATATCATGGTGTTGAGATATTTGATCATTATTCTCTCCTACCGAATATGATATTCATGATGTGCAGATTAGCCTGAGCTATCCTAAAACCAGGGGATGGGCAGCAATGAAGGGACACTTTTAAAACAATGTTTTTTATGAACCACCATGAACATGGATGGGAGCGGTCCATCCTTTGTTTTTACTGAGAGAGAAAGAAAAAATGCCAATGCTTTCAGGACCCTGATTCTAGAGACCCACCAGGAAGCCTGGAAAAGAAACAAGAAATATGCCTATCTCCTGGAGCAGCTGGCTGGTGGCTGGCTGTCGGGCAGGGCTGGACAGAGGCTTGGGGGGGGGGGGGGGGGGGGGGGGGGGGGGGGGGGGGGGCGGGGGTTTCAAGTCGTTAAGGTGGTTCACCATATTTTCTCACCCACAGAGAGGATGGTCTAGATGGGGCGTCAAGCAAAGGGTTTGGGAGACTTGAAGCATGTGGGAAGCGTGATGAGAAATACAGGCAGTCCCCAGGTTGTGATATGTTCCCAAGTAAATTGAATGTATAGGTAAGACAGAATAGGTACCTATGAGGGGGCTTCAAAAAGTTCATGGAAAAATCATATGAA